AGTAGAACATGGTCCACAGCTTTGTATCAAACAGTCAATGGCCAGGTAGAATATGGTACAGGGTACAGTAACTCATAGTGCACAGCCTGGTAGAACATGCTCCCGGCTCGGCAGAACATGGTCCACAGCCTGGTACCATATGGTCGATGGTCAGGTGCAGTTAGGTACTGGTCCCGATAACCACGGTTCAGTAACTCATGATTCCACGGCTCTGTAGAATATAGTCAAGGGACCGGTACCTCATGGTCCACAGCCGGTAGCACATGGTCCATAGCCCTGTACCATATTGTCGATGTCCTGGTGGAATGAGTTACAGGGTCCTGTAACTCCTGGTCCACGGCCCGGTATCTAATGGTACATGGTTCAGTAGAATATAGCCCAGGGTCCGGTAACTCACGTTTCACGGCCAAGTAGCACAGGGCTTGCAGCCCTGTATCATATGGTCGATAGCCCAGTAGAATATCTTCCAGTGTCCGGTAACTCATGGTCCACGACATCGTAAAATATGGTCCAGGGCCCACTAACTCATGTTACACGGCCCGGTAGAACAAGTCGACTGCCTAGTAGCACATGGTTTACAGCCCTGTATCACATAAGAAGTGGTCCCACGGTCCGGTAGAACATATCCATTGCCTGCTAGCGCATGGCACACAGCCTTCTAACAATGTTCATTGACCTTGTAGAATATAGTCCAGGCCCGATAACTCATGTTCCACAGACCGGTAGTACATGTCCACGTCCCGGTAGCACATTGTTTAGTCTTGTACTACATTGTAGAAGGCTCGGTAGAATATGGTTCAGGGCCCAGTAGAACATGTTCCCGGACCAGTAGCACATGGTACAGGTCTTGGTAACTCAATGTCCACGGCCCGGTAGCACACAGTCAGCAGTCCAATACCACATAGCCGAATATGCTGCAGGGCTCAGAAAATCATGATTACACGGGCTGGTAAATCATGGTCCGTGGCTCGGTAGGGAAAGAGAAAATGCTCGGCGGCAATTCGTCCATGGAACGTTTGCGCATGAACCATGCCCCTTTAGAACATGGTCTAGTTCTTAGTAGATCATAATCCACGGCCTGGGAACTCTGAACATTGTCCACTGTACCGGGCCATGTTCCTTTTAATACCGGGTCGTGGAACGTTCCACTCTGCTTTGCACATTGAGATACAGGGCTAAAGATCATGTACTACCGGGTATTGGACTATTTGCTACCAGGCTGGGGACATTTTCTACCGGGTTGCGGACCATAATTTACCGGGTGTTGTACTATATTCTACCAGGCCATGGACCATGATTTAGAAGTCCGTGAACCATGAGTTACTGAGCTGTGGACTGTATTCTATCGGGCCATCAGACATGAAGTACAGTGCTGTGGACCATGTCCTACCGGGCCGTAGACCATGAAATACAAGGCTCTGGAAAATAATCTACCAGATCATGGGACCAGGAGATATCGATCCCTGAATCATATTCTACCGGTCCATCAGGAATGTGGTACAGAGATGTGGACCACATGCTGGAAGGCCGTGGACATATATTCTTCCGGTCCCTTAATTAAATGCTACCGGGCCACAGGCCATGTGGTACAGGCCTGCGGGCCATATGCTTGCGGGCCGTGCGACTGTGAATTACAGGACTGTGGACCATGAATTACCGAGCCGTGGACCATATTCTAACAGGCCATCAAATATTAGGTACAGGTCTGTGAACCATGTGCTACAGGTGGAACCATAAGTTATCGAGTCATGGACCAAGAGTCACCGGTCTCTGGATGATATTCTATTGGGCTGTGGGACTATGTGTTACAGGGCTGTGCATCATATTCTACTGGGTCATCAACGATGTGGCACAGGTCTGTGGACCCTGTGCTACGGGGTCATGAACATGTGCTACCGGGCTATGGATATGTTCTACCGGGCGTTGGACTATATTCTATCGGGTCGTGGGACGATTCATTACCGGGCCCTGGACCATGAATTTCTGGGCCCTGGACCATATTCTACTGAGCCATCGACAATGTGGTACAGTACTGTTGACCATAGGCCATTGACATGTTCTACCAGACCGTGGACCATCAATTACAGGGTCCTGGACCACGTTCCATCAATCTGTGTTACCATGTGTTATCGAGCGATGGAAATGAGTCACTGGGACCTGGAGCATATTTTACTAAATTGTGGAACCATGTGCTACTGGGTCGTGGACATTTCCTACTAGGCCATGGATCCTTAGAGACCGGACCCAGGAGCATTGGGACCATATTCTAGCAGGCATTGATAGCACTGAGACCGTGATTTACCGATCCGTAAACCATGAATTACCGAGCCATGGGCTATGTTCTACAGGTCATTTGACAATGTTATACCGGCTCTTTGACCATGGCATTTCAGGCCGTGGACCATGTCCTACAGAGCTATGGAAAATTTACTACTTGACTGTGGACCGTGATGCACAGAGGTGGGGACCTCTTTTTACCGGACCCTGGGCCATGGTCTACAGGACCGTAGGCCAAATGATACCATGCCTTAGAACATTTTCTATCGTGTCGTAAGCTATTTGCTACTTTGCATTGCATCATGGGGTACAGTCCGTGAAACATTTTCTCCCACGGGCCATTTAATACCAAGCCGTAGACTAGGAAATGGAACATGTTCTATAGGTCCATAGACAATGTGGCAATTGTCCATAGACGATTTTTCACCTGGGAGTGTCCCTTTTTCCTATCAGGCCGCGAATCATTTTCTACTCGGCCGTTAAACACGTGTTACCAGGCTATGGAACATGAGTTACCGAGCCCTAGACCATAATCTAACGGGCCGTTGGACCAAATGTTACCGGGCCCTGGACCATATCTACCGGGCCATCAACTATGTGGTACAGGGCTGTGGACCGGGGCCGTGGACATGTCCACCGGTGCCTTTTTTTATAGTAAACTTAAAAATTGGTAAATAATCTCCGTAATGTAATTTTAGAAATTTTCTGATAATGTGTTTTACTTTAAATAATGGACGTGTTTCATAATATTTTATATAAATAAAAAATGACTGGTATTAAACTTTACCATTTATGATAAGTAAATATAGTTTTCACTTAATAATAATATAATCTAATTAAAATAAAAAAAAATGAATACAATTCTCGGAAAAAAAAATTATTCATCAAATTTTTTTCCTTATGACAATAGCATCCATAATATATCATATTTATAAAAGCAATTAATAGCTTTCCTAATCAAATAATGCATTATTATTTTACGATTCGGTGAAGATTTTCGCTATTGTGTTGTTGTTCGACAAAAAAAAAAAAAAATGATGATTAAATGTTGGCTCCCTGTGCCGCGTCAGGAATTTTTTCTCGCCGGAGTCGATCCTTCAAATCTACAAATCAACCATTCGCCCTTGCATGGAGTATTGCTGCCATATATGATCTGGAGCCCCTTCTGTTTGTCTCAAGGTTCTTGATAAAATCCAGAAACTGATATGCAATGTAATTGGCCCTGATCTGGCATCTCGTCTGCAGTCACTCTCTCACAGACGTGCCGTCGCCCCCTCTGTCTTTTTTTACAAATACTTTCACGGTAACTGCTCCGATGAGCTGCTTTCTCTGGTTCCCAGACTTCATGAATTTGAGCGTTCATCTGGCATCTCGCTCTCGCCCTTTCACTGTCGAATCTGTTAAATGTAACCGTCTCTTCTACTCTAATAGCTTCATGTCTCGCACTTCTCGCCTGTGGAACTATCTTCCCTTTTCCCGTTTTCCTGATAGCTATAATCTCCAACTATTCAAATGTAATGTCAATGCCTTGATCTATCCCCTATCCTTCTCTTCATCTTTTCCTCTATCACTCCTATTTGCTCTCGCTCCAACTCTGTAATCACTTGCGTGCTAGTGGCTTCCCGCCTTGCTTGGGGTGAAAGGCTTTAAAAAAATGCACAGGAAAGCCACGATATGGCAGTGGAAAAATGACTGGATCGAGATGCTAGGTCAGGTCAATACAGATTCTTCTTTGGATTTTATCAAGCAACTCTAAATACACAACAGAAACACCAGAGTAGATGTGACAATGCATGGACGAATGGTAGACTTATAAATGCGTAAAATAGAATCTGGCGAGAAAAACATGACAGAGTGAACCAACTTTCCTAGGAGAAAATCTAGCAATTGATTCAACATAATCTTCTCACTTCATGTCGGTGGAAAACGTTAACCTGAGAAGGAGCAATGAGTCACTCTGCCGGGGGTTAGCATCAGCCATACTGCTGGCAGTCAAAAAAGGTTCTTACCCATGATTTTCTCATTATTCGTCGATAGGACCAAATCATCTTGATCTGTGAAGAGACTGTACAACATTCATTGCCATATAGGAGATTAGCAATACAGTTTTTTTCTATGTACTGTGTCCATTCAGGACTTTGACTAACACAGAGGATGAAATTAACGAAAATAGAGAAAGAAATACTGAGTCGCGTCAATTCTCTCAGTGAGGAGGGTCTATCCACTAAAAAATTAGCAGTTGATATCATTTAGCCTCTGCTCGAACGTCAACTGCCTCAGCCGAAAAGCAGACGTTATGGAACATTCTTTTCATAAAGTTTCCACAGAACCTACCGGCATGAAAATCCGAACACGCGCACTCACAGAGGTAATAAATAAAGTAAGAGAAACCGCCTTCTCTATCCACAAATAATAGGCCCTCTAATGCTCGACACACAACCAGCATTTTAGAAACAATTCATCTTTCTGTCTGTGACGACAGCAAACAAAAAGGCAGACAACCGGAAAGACAAATATGGCCGACAAGGAAAAACGGAAGCACCGGAAGTAATTCGCAATTGAGAACTTAAAAATGAGATCTGCGATGAGGACATGTCAGTAGTTGGCTGGTGGAAGAGGTTGAGGTAACAACCTGCCTGTCAAAACACGTGACAGGTAGCGTGGCATTAGACGAGGGGCGCGCGATTTATCGATCGTTGGCGGGTGACAAGTAGACGCGCAGATTAAGACGTTTCTACGAATTGGTAAGGAAAGAAAAAATATGGGGAGAAGGAAAACAGAGGTGGCAGGAAATAGAGAGTGAAAAGAAGAGAAATAGAATAAAATTGAAAATAAATTGGAAAGATGGACAAAAAGAGGCAAAAAAGGTTTAGTGAAATCGCAGAAAGGAACGAATGAGAAAAAGAAAACGTCGAACAGAAATGAAAGTTATAAGAAGGGAAGAGAAAAAGTAAGAAAAATAGAGAGAAAAGTAAGAAAAAAAATGAGGTGAGAAAATTGAAAAAATATACCTGTCTATATCTTTGAGATGAAGTATTATGATTACTTGCATTATTAATATTATTCGGACTGTTATCCTCATATCCATTGCTATATTCTCAACGTTTCGGCCGTTGTACGGTCCGGCCTTCTTCTGGAATTTCGAAACGAACCTTTTATTTCATCCATCGGGGTAGATTGTTCTAGTTCCACGTGCCATGTCTCTTCAGCATGACTCAGCTATTTCCATTTAACTCAACTCTCCAAGTTTTTGGTTCACTACATCTGTGGCCTGGTAACTCTTTGGGTCTAGTCACTGGAACGTTTTTATCCACTGTGCTATGTGTCTTTGGTAACTGTCAGAATAATGTAAATAATGAAAGTAATGAAAACTATACGTTGCAAATCTCGATGGACGGGTCATTTTCCCAATTAGCATAAGGAGATAAGTAGAAGTGGAGTAAAAGAAAGCAAAGTGAAAAAATATTTGGAATAAATAAGAAAATTAGTAGTGAAATTAAAGAAAGAAAGAAAAAAGAAAGGAAGGAAGAAAGAAAGAAAATAAGAAAGAAAGTAAAAGGAAAAAGAAAGAAAAAGGAAAAAGAAAGAAAGAAAGAAAGAACTCTTGATGGTTGTATAAAAAAGAGAAAAAAAGATAGAGGTTTCAATGAGAAAAAGAGATTAGCAAGGAAAAGAACATTATTATTGTTTGAAGAAGGTAAAAACGAATAAAATAATTTCAGAAAAAAGAAAGTTAGACCCCGCCAAATAGTAAAAGAAAAATATAGAAAAGGAAAGTAGTAAGGAGGAAGAGAGTGAGAAAGTTAAGATGTAAAGAGAAAGAAAACTGGAAATTTGAAAATAAAGAAAGCAAAATGAAAGAAAGAATCAACGAAAATAAAATTGGATGGAATATAAAAGAACAAGAAAAGTCCGTGTACAAAATATAGGCCGACAGAGAATACAGAAAACACAGAGAGAGAGAGAGAGAGAGAAAGAGAGAGAGAGATGGATAGAGAGTGAAAGAGAGAGAAAGAGAGAGAGAGAGAAAGAGAGAGAGAGAGAAAGAGAGAGAGAGAGAGAAAGAGAGAGAAAGAGAGAGAGAGAGAATGAGAGAGAGATGGATAGAGAGTGAAAGAGAGAGAGAAAGAGAGAGAGATGGATAGAGAGTGAAAGAGAGAGAAAGAGAGAGAGAGATGGATAGAGAGTGAAAGAGAGAGAAAGAGAGAGAGAGATGGATAGAGAGTGAAAGAGAGAGAAAGGGAGAGAGAGAAAGAGAGAGAGAGATGGATAGAGAGTGAAAGAGAGAGAAAGAGAGAGAGATAGAAAGAGAGAGAGATGGATAGAGAGTGAAAGAGAGACAGAGATAAATAGAGAGAAAGAAAGAAAGAAAGAAAGCAATAGAGACAAAGAGAGAAAGTATTTTACATAAATTGACCGTCAGCAATTTTCTTGATTGTTATTTATGCTCTCTTTAATGGCGCTTATGATGGTTTCCAAAATGTGTTTTATTTTTTTATTTTTGAATTCATTCATTAATTTCTCTCTCTCCCCCTTCCCTTACTCCATCTCTCTTCCTCCCTTATTTCATCTGCCTCTCTCCCCAACTCCCTTACTCCATCTCTCTCTCTCTCTTTCCCCTCTCTCTTGGTGCGAATAAAATTGGCACGAAATAATTTGTTACGTCAAACAGACACTTCCGACTCGTGAGCACCGTCCTTATTGAAGATGTTCGCAATCTGTCTATACTTCTGAGATGAGGTATTGTAATTATTTACACTATTTACATTGATCAGACTGTTATCTCCATCTTTATTGTCACATTCACATTTTCGGCCGCTGTACGCTCCGGCCTTCTTCAGGTGATATGTTTTTTTTAAATTTCGAACCGAACCCAGAATAGACAGGTGAAGGAAATGGAACAGATTCTCAGAATATTAATGTTATATGTCTGCCTATTTCAGGAAACAAGCATGGGAAGAACGTCTACACAAACGTCATCGAACCAATCTTCAGAAACGCCAAAATACAAATTGACTATTCTGGTTTCGGTTCGAAATTTTTAAAAATATCATCTGAAGAAGGCCGGAGCGTATAACGCCCGAAACGTTGTGAATGTGACATAAAAATGAGGACAACAGTCCGAACAATGTAAATAATGTAAATAGTGTGCGTAATATTAAGGCGAATGTGTTTAATGATATTCTGCGGTAACGTTTTTTCAAAATAGTGTGTAATTGCCGCTCGTTTGGTAAATGTTTTAGTTGCTTCGAAACGAGCTGAAGTGGTTGCATCTAACCTATCATATCTTAAAAAAGATGGTGGTGTAATAATACGCGCTTTATTAACTCATATATGCATTATGGATGGTGCATTGGTTATCGGCGAGAAATGTGAGATTTGTCTACTGAGGTCATATTCCAGCCATGGTCGTTGCATTCACTTTCACAAAAAGTCTCTTGGGATGGTGTGAATCCATTTTCTGCCGCTGCCAGATAGTAGGTAATAGTAGGGGCAGGCTAGACTTTCTTTCGTTAGCAACCAATTTAGGAAAAGAACAACTCAAAATTTAAAAAAAACAAAATGTTAAGCTTGGAACTCGCAGTTCCACCTCGAAAAAAAAAATTCTACAGAGAAACCAATGCAACAACGCAGTAGAGAGGTTTTTCTTTTTTAGCTTTGTGCTCGACAGGGGCTGGGCATCTCCGGGATTTACATACATGTGTGTGTGCGTGTCTGTCTGTGTGTGTGTGTTTATGTGTGTGTGTGTGTGTGTGTGTGTGTGTGTGTGCGTGCGCGTGCGCGTGTGTGTGTAAAGACAGAGTTTCCTGGATCATTTAAAAAATTATACATTTTATCGTTAGATTTTCGTGACGTCAACTAAACAAGACTAAAATAAAAATGAACACGCTCACTAAAGTACAGTTTTAAGCTCTTTAGGTGATGGAAAATTTGTTTGCAGCATATTGCTCTCTTTAAACGTTGGAGAAGCGAAATAAATAAAGAAAGAAAAAAGAAAGAAAAAAAAAAGAAAGAAAGAAAGAAAGAAAGAAAGAAGAGAAACCCATTTGATTGCTCTTCCTCTTTCATATAATAATCTCTTCTACGTTGCAAACATTATGATCGTATTAACTCCTTAGATGCATGATGACTGTGGAATTAACTACATTCGCAGAATATACGTTTACATGTAAGTATATATGAGTCTATGTATTTAGCACAAAGTCCCAAGTCATCGTGACCAAGGTTTGGTCTTGTACAAATTTCTGATAACCCTAGTTTATATCTTATGTCTCACAAACTGTGTGGAGTAATGGGTAGCTGTTCGGATTGAGGAATCGGAGTTCGAATTCCAGTCGAATCCATTTACGTGCTAATACCCTTGGGAAAGGTATGAATCATCTTCTCCTCCTCCCCACCACCAGCTAGCAGAAAAGACCGGGTTCTATAGCGTTGTATATCAACTGGTCTACCGAAGAAAGAAATGGCAGTCTACTGCGGAAAAGTCTGCCTCGTCAGTCATGTATCGAAAGATACATGATCGCCTAAGCGTGTATCATGCGTGGCAGATAATTGACATAAACTGTAACGAAATTTTGTTGAGTATATTTTCATTATAAACGATAGAAGGGCTGGAATTAGAACAATCTCAGCTTGGACTAAATAAAGTGTTGGGCTCGAAATTTCAACATATATTACTTGAAGAAGAACGTCAGGAATATGTCAGTAAAGTTGACGACAACAGTCCGAACAAAGTAAATAGTTTAATAGTTACAATACTATTTCAGAAATATAGACAGATGTTAAAGAATATATTACGCTAAAAAACGTCAGATATTTCTTTTATTTATTGACTTCTTAATTACAGTACTGAATATCGAAGTATAGTCAGTTATGTACCATGCATGATATACGCTTAGGCGATCATGTATCTTTCGATACATCACTGACGAGGCAAATTTTTCCCGCAGTGGGTTGCCATTTCTTTTTGCGGTAGACCAATTGCAATACAAGGCTATAGAACCAGGTCTGTCCTACTATTTACCAATAACTAGGGGAGAAGAAGAGGATTTATAACTTTCCCAAGGATATTAGCACGTAAGTAATGGATTCGATTGGAATTCGAATTCGACTCCCCGATTCCTCAATCCAAGCCGCTATCCATTACAACAACGGCTAATAACAGAACATTATTAACAATAATAATAAATAAAATAGTTACTCGACTCTATTTACTTTTGTATATCTTGAAATTCACTCAATAAATAAAAACTAAAAACTAAATAAAATAACTACATAGAGATAGTTTCCTATATATATATATATATATATATATATATATATATATATATATATATATATACAGTACAGATGGAATAAAATTCCGATAACCAAAAGCACGATTCTTAAGAGAGTGCTCAATACTGAGTAGACCAAATAATATTTATTCAAAATTATAATATATGCATGTTATAACACCACTACAAATAACATGCATATGTTATATTTTGAATATATATATATATATATATATATATATATATATATATATATATATATATATATATATATATATATAAAGGAAACATTGAATTCAACACTCATAGAGCATGAAACAGACTGTCGTCTCTGTTTGTTGACTTCAATGTTCACTTTATATTTATATTTAGATACGCTCTATCTCTGATATCGAGCATTTTATCTCATAAGTATAGCACACCTTAAAACTATATTTCTTCATACAAACGCGCCGTCGCCTCTCTCTGTCTTTTTTACAAATACTTTCATGGCAATTGCTCCGAGGAGCTGCATTCGCTGATTCCCAGGAGTTCATGCGCCCTATGAGGCTGGCATCCCGCTCTCACCCTTTCACTGTCGAAACTCCTAAATGTAGCCGTCTCTTCATGTCCCGCACCTCTCGCCTGTGGAACTCCCATCCCTATTGCAGTTTCCCTGAGAGCTATAATCTCCAACTATTCAAATGTAATGTCGATCGACATCTCCAGTTGCCTTGATCTATTCACTATTCTTCTCCTCATCCTTTCCTCTATCACTCCTATCTGATCTTGCTCCAAATCTTCTGTAACCCCTTGCGTCCTAGTGGCTTCTCGCCTTGCTTGGGGTGAAACACTTAATATATATATATATATATATATATATATATATATATATATATATATATATATATATCAGTCTTCATCTATTTCAGTCTGAGATGCTTAGCAAGATAATCTTGCAATGCGCTCTTCTAGAGTATCTTCTCAGTGTATTTTTATCAGACTAAGTAAAGCTTAGCAAGTCTTTTTTTTTATCTATTTGCAAGCTGAATATCACTTTCCTGCCTATTCCAATGTGCGTCTATTTCTTCCTTGTGCCTCTCTTATCCTCATTTTGTGTGTAAACTTTAGAAACGAAATTAATCGTTACAACAAATGACACCAGACTTAATTCTCTAATATAGTATACCGCTAGATCGTTAAGAACCCGTTGACAGCCAACGGAGACAACACGATAGCCTTGGGTCGCTCATACGACACTGACAGGGCGGCAGGTCACATGTCTGACAAATAATGATGATAGAAGTCAATTGCAACTTGAAGCAGACCAGACAAGGAGCAAAAGATTCAATTCCGAGCGTGGGGAGCATGTACAAGCGGACGTGGGGAGCATGTACAAGCGGACGTGGAGAGCATGTACAAGCGGACGTGGAGAGCATGTACAAGCGGACGTGGGGAGCATGTACAACGGGACGTACCGTCAAAGAGACATCAACGCCATTTTGAAATTTAAGTACACTTTTAAAGTATAAATTTGCTTCCGTTTGCCGTTTATGAAGATTTATTTATTTTAATTTTTGTTAATCGATACGGGTGGTCTGATATCTATAACATTGAAGAATGGTAAGAAAGGATGGTGTAAATTTCTATAAACATGCTTGAAGGTAATTATTTGATTAAAACATAAGGAAACGTTGTGTAACTTTGTTAATATCTCCATTTTATTTCCACCATTCGCAGAACATTCATTCTATGGAATACTGAAAATGTACTTTTGTGTGACAGAAAAAAAGTCTTAGTTTATTTTCTGTTGATTTTGCTTGCTTATATACGTATATGTGTGTGCGTATACACGCGTAGTGATTTATTTATTTATTTATTTTTTACTAATGTTCATCCTGTATTAGGTACGAGAGGCACTCAAAGTAGATGGTTACTGAAGGTGGTTGTTGTGTGAGTTGTAAAAGTAAAGTGTGCAGATTATGTGGATATTTGGGAAAGATATTTAACTCAGGTTCAAAACATCAAAATATAAAAGTACATAAGAAACTTACCAGCAATGCATTTTCATAATAAAAGAATAAAAAATGACCTGCAATAAATTTTTTTGAAAATAAAAAACAAAAAACAAAGCTCACAAGAAAATAAAATTTCGGTATTAAATGACCCATAAGAAGTTGATATGCCGTTAAACCAAACCAATAGTTAACTTTAAAGTTGAAGATTGTAATGATCAAGAAAATGTCCACCTGGGATTCTATTCTACAAATCAATATTACTTGGAAGAAGCTACCTTAGTGGGACTTACTCCTTACTAATGCAATACAAAGGTAATTAAGGTGATTCGCTTCACTGTATGTGGGGTGGCGGATCTTAGCTGGAGGGGGTGTTAAAGTTGTCGAACTAAGAAATGTAGTTCAATGGAAATCGCGGTAGAGTAGTGAGTGGCTTGCAATGTCTTGTCTGTGGGAAAGTGGTTGTAACGTGGAAAACAGGCCGCGTAGATGATACTGGAGTATATTACAAGACTGGAAAGCGAAGACTATGCAGCACCAGATCAGTATTCCATTTATAGTATAGTAGGAGATGTCAGGTACTTACTGGAGCGGTACAGGGGGTAGGAATCGATCATTTTCCCAGCATCTTCAGCGATAGATCCATTTGAAGTCTGAATAAGTTCCAATAGGCGTTCAATTCAAATGACCTCCTTGAGAGGATATCCTCATATGCAGGATACACGGATATTCAGGGGTTGCTTGCAGGGGGATTTCTATGCATGCATGAATTGATACATAATCTTTTCGTGACCGGAGGACAAGTAAAAATAATAACAAGCAATACTTTAAGTATTTTAAATAGCAGTATTATAAGATAGAATAGGACTGATAATTACCACTGAATATCAAGTGATTAAATTACTAAATCTAAATTTAAATTTAAAGTTTTCTTATTTCAACATTTGTTTATTGAAATTAGTATTTTGAAAAATATTTGAGTGTATTTGGGTAAAAAGTAGCACCTAATTATATGAATTCGTATTTAACAGAAAGATAAAAGCTAGTTTATCCCTTTAAGATAATGATCATTAAAAGCGAAATTGAAAGATCTTTCATATTGTAAAACCTTAAGATTTTGGCTGTAGTAAAATGTGCTTTTTCTCAAAATACTTATCATCTTACAGTAATATTTGAAGTAAAATATAATATATACAGAATAGATTAAAAAAACTGTAAAAAAACGCAAAATTATAAATTAATACAGTAAATAAATATAAATATATATAGCACATTGCGATGAAGAGTGTGAATACGCCACTATATTTTCGGCTAAATGTCCATTCGGTTAAATGTCCATCACCCAAATGTCCGAGTACCAATCTTTTTCAATAACTTTTTTCTTTCTTTCTTTATTAATTTTATCCGCTAAGGAAACTAATTGGTTTGGATTTAGTTACTTTTTAGGATCTAATAAAATCATTCTCTTGTTTCATCGTTAAAATTGTTTAATTCTGGTAAACACCTTTTAAACAGTAGGTCAAACGGATAAGATATTTACTTTTTGGATTTTGTGACCCCATTTAGTTATTTTTCATATTCTCCTTCTTCGATGTGCCATATCCTTTCATGGCTCTCCACAACTTTCTATTCTTTGTAGCTCATGTTAGCTTTCATATAATTAATTATTATGATCCGAGAAACAATTATTTACACGGTATTGAACACTAAAATTATCCATTGTCTCATGTTGCAAATCGTCTCTCACTTTTTAACTGTATCTTCCATTTACTGTCCCTTATCCTTTTCAGTCGCCATT